TGATTAGGCTTCTAATTAAATGTACAAGGACTAAACTGCCCCTACTTAAGTATGGGACAGAGAACCTCTAATAAGACTGCCACATAAGCTCATATTGAATGGTGCTTGGCAGCTGGTCCTGGGAAGCTGAGTAATAATGTAATATATTTCCATTGTCTTCTCTTCTAAACCAATCCCTGAACCAATATAGTTGCCTCAACTGCAACCATTGAAATTTATTGTGTATGCCCTGCTCCAGGGCCATCCAAACAGCAGTCTTTCGCTATCTTAATTAATAATCCTTTGCTATCTTCTGGCAGATGCACCCACTATCATCTGCCATCCCTGTAATAAATCAAGGTTACCCCTTTAAAATCTTGACATGACAAAATGCTGTGAGCAATTTTTACTTTTACAAGGCCGATTATGTGGTGAATTTGCTCTCTTCACCCAATCATCTCTAGAGAGTTGCTACTGTGCTATGATGCTGCAATATTTTGTCTTCTTGTGAGAAAAGGGAACGGGTGAGATGAACTAAATATTATCTAGAGATGGAGTCCATGTGGCACGGAAAACAATGAGGTGGCTGGCTCCATACTTGAGCTCATACCTGATTATATATGCACTTGTTTCAACATGTGTAACGATTAGTTGTTTGTTTTATGTGGCACGGAAAACAATGAGGTGGCTGGCTCCATACTTGAGCTCATACCTGATTATATATGCACTTGTTTCAACATGTGTAACAATTAGTTGTTTGTTTTATGGTTTTCAAGTTATACTGCTTGACTTCATATCTGATTATGTATGCACTTGTTTAAAATGCCCGTCTCTTCTTCATCCAAAATAGAGGTTAATGCCTATTTACTTGTTTGTCTGATCTACAAACCCAAGCCTTCATCATTGTTGTTTGCCTTATTTGAGATAACAAATTATTTCTGATCCATCAAAAAAAAGTAATGATATGAATTATCTTTGTAATCTCTTTGTCAGCCTTGGGAGGAAAGAATGAAGACTGCCCATGAGCAAGAAACACTTGTTCTGCTTCAGAATCTGGATCCAGCATATACGTCAGCAGAAATAGAGGTAATAATTGTATTAGAGTCCAAACTGTTGTTTGGACAAGGCCTTTACTCTTGTGACATTGCGTGTTAGTGGTCAGTTTTCAGTATCTGCGGACTTGCTGTTCTAGAGCATGCATTTATTTCATTTTTTTTTTTACCTTGGTCCTTTTACTAGCTCCTATAAATACATTTCAACCAATCTTTCCAGCAGGAACAAGCCCCTATTCCTGAGGTATTATTAAGCTGTGGACATGACTGCTGGCCTTTACTAGTCAGGCACCTCATTCAATTTTTAGAAATCCTCTATCTTCACAGTATCTTACAATGTTCTCTCTTTTGCCCATTCAGACTTCAAGCATTATGCACTCACAAATTCACTTGATTCTGAATTCTATTCTGATATCCCATTTGTTTGCCGAACTGAACCTGTTGAAAGAGCTGAGAAGAAGAAGAAGAGGAAGAAGAAGAGAGGAGAGTCTGATTTGTTTGCCGAATGTGTTCATCAGCCGGCACTGTTCACTAATATAAGAACAATACATAATTTACATGAAAGGACCAGGATGCCCCTGATTAGTGATRGRACACCCAGTCTAATAAAACACAAGATACAATTAGGCCCAGTTACTAAGGCCCATTAACTAGAGATTCTAATACCCAACCCAGACAAGAGAATAACAACATATCAGCCGAACCAACACTCCCCCTCAAGTTAAGCATGGATGTCAATCATGTTTAGCTTGCCCAGTAAGTCCAAAAATTTCACTGTGGTTAGCCCTTTAGTTAAAACATCTGCAATTTGCATCTCCGAGGGAGTGTAGGGAATGCAGAGTTCTCTTGTGACTATTCTTTCTCTAACAAAATGGCGGTCTATCTCAATATGTTTTGTTCTATCATGTTGCACTGGGTTATTTGCAATGTTGATAGCAGCCTTGTTGTTGCAGTACAACTTGAGAGGGCACTTAGTCTTCACTCCCAGTTCACCAAGAAGAATTTTAAGCCACAACAGTTCCGCAAAACCATGAGCCATAGCTCAATATTCTGCCTCTGCACTAGACCTTGCAACAACATTCTGTTTTTTACTTCTCCATGTAACTAGATTTCCCCCAACAAAAGTGCAGTAACTTGAAGTTGACTTTCTGTCACCCACAGAACCAGCCCAATCTGCATCAGTATATCCTTCAACTTCAATTCTATTGTTTTTTCTGAACAGAATCCCTTTCCYAGGGCAAGACTTCAAATATCTGAGAATTCTTTCTACAACCTTCATGTGAGGAATTTTGGATTGTGCATAAACTGGCTGACAACATGAACGACATAAGCAATGTCGGGACGAGTGAGGTACAAGTAAATTAACTTCCCCACTAACTTCTGGTATCTCTCCTTATCAGGGTAGTCCTCTCCCACCGACTCCTGTAGACCATGATTCGGTTCTATTGGAGTATCTGTTGGCCTACACCTCAACATGTCTGTCTCTTGTAGAAGGTCAAGGATGTATTTCCGTTGACATATATAGATGCCCTCTTTGGATCTAGCAACTTCAATCCCTAGAAAGTACCTCAATTGACCCAGGTCTTTGATTTCAAATTCAGCAGCTAGGACCTCCTTCAGTCTGTTGATCTCCTCCTTATCATCCCCAGTAATTACCATATCATCTACATAGACGATAAGAGCAGTAAGTTTCCCATTCCTCTTCTTTATAAATAGAGTATGATCTGCCCCGCTTTGAGTATAACCGCCTTTCTTCATGGCTCCACATAGCTTCTCAAACCAGGCACGAGGGGACTGTTTAAGGCCATATAGTGCCTTTCTCAGTTTACACACTTTTCTGCCAAATTCATAACCTGGTGGAAGATCCATGAATACCTCCCCATGTAGATCACCATTTAAAAAAGCATTCTTCACATCTAGCTGATGAAGCTCCCACGAGAAGTTTGCAGCTAATGAGAGTAGGACTCTGATAGTGTTGAGTTTTGCTACGGGAGCAAATGTTTCTTTGTAGTCAACTCCTTCCTTTTGAGTAAACCACTTTGCCACTGAGTGTTTTTCCTTATCTTTATAATTGAATTTTTTCATGTTTCAGGATATAATTTGGCATGGTTTTAGGGAAAACTGCACAGCAAAGGTGGTGCAGCACACTTCTGCGTCTAGTCCACATTCTGGTATGATATCACCAATATAATTGGTTATACAATACACTTCTCCTTTATTTCATTGGGATATTAAATAATGGTAGGAGGGAAATTAGTTTTTGACTTGGTGATGTTCCATGTTCCAGGTCAAGCTTTTGTTATTTTCAAAACAAGAGAAGCAGCGGAGATGGCAATTAGAAAATTAGATGAGGGATGCCTTATGCTACCTAATGGAAGGTATTCTTAGTTTCTTAAATATATTGTCCAAGCTTTCATGTGTACTGTAAAATGTTATGAGATTGGATTATTGTTTGGAGGATCATTTTGTGCACATACTTATTGAAAATATGATATACACATACATATAATGTTAAACACTAATAGCACTTTAATTATTTTAGTGGTTTTAGCAAACAATATTATTAATGGTATGCATCCTTATCAAACAAAGAATGTTGGCAGAACAAAACATGATTTATTACACACATATATGTATGTGACGAAATAAATTCGTTGAATGAAGAGGGAGCTAATTACATACATAATGTCATCCACATGGAAAAGGATGGAGTTAAGATAGAATGAACTATAAAAATTATTTCAAAATGCCAGAGTCCTGCAATCTTGAGGGGCCTGTAATTTCTCATGATCATCCACTTGCGTGCTTTACAGAAGCACCATGAAAGGGGTAATATACTATAATTTGTAGTAGGGGTTAATCATGTACCAGACCGGGTATGATTCTGGGCATATTACTTTGAATACCATACAAGTTTGATCAAGGGGTAAGATGATGAAAAGATATTTGCATTTTGATGACTTAATTGTACTTGTTGATGTGCCCTTTATTGGATTTAAATTTTAAAATATTTGAACATCTAACCCTTTTGCAAAAATGAAAAGACATTTATATTTTCAATATGTTTATTGTACTTATTTAAATGTCCAAAGAAGTGATACGAAAGAACAAAGTATTTAAAAAAACACCATTTTCATAAATTGGCACTGTACAATTCTCCTGACCTGTGGTCCACATTGCATGATGATACGAACACTAACGTCCACATTGCATGATGATACGAACACTAACCACTTAATGCATATGGGCTAGAATTTTCATTGATGGACTAGTTCCTGTCTTCAGCTATTTTTCCCTCCCTATAGTCTTCCAAATTCTTCATTGATGCCAACAAGAATTCCTACAAGGGGCATGTGCTCCTTTAGTCAAGATGCAGTGTTGCAGCCATGCTCTTGCCCCTTGGATAAACAACTCTGTAACAGTGCAAGAAAAATTCGTGAAAGGTTAAACTACCAAAAATGGATCAGAATTAGGAAAAGCCATGTTCTGATGGTTGGCCATGGGGTCAATAGAATCCTTTTGGGCTTTAGATAGCTGATCAGCATATGTAAATGAACTATTTTTGTGCCTACAGATTTCCTGGTTTCCCTCTCCTGCCTTGTTTTGGATGACGCTCAGGGGACCAGGGTGTGCCAGTTGTAAATCTTAATCTATCTTTTTGTAAATAAATTCTGCTGTCCCTCTCTTTTTTCTTATTTATTTATTTATTTCTGAACCATGGTGCATGTTGGTTCATACCTTATCTATCTCTATCATACAAAGTAAGACGCTGCATTAGTTGTTTAAGTATACTTATATAAACTTATACTGGACATGTGATCTTGGGAGCCACAGCACCAGATATAATCGTACAATACTTGGTAAACGATAAATGGGATGGAAAAATGAGATTTGTGTGGCAGACTCGAGTATTTGGGGTATGGCTTTGTTGGGTTAAGTTTATAAATATAATTTTTTATCAGTAACTGAAACTTCATCGCTTACAAAGAGAATTGTACTAGCGTGTACAAGAAGTACACAATAAGTTTATATTCAAAAAAATTTGGCAGCAACCCTCTTCTACCCTGCTCGCTACCCTTTAACTTACATCAATTCCACCAAAAGAAATATAAATACAAACTTTCACTGGAAAAATTGGGTCATATATGTATGCTTGTCAAATCAACAAAGAAAGGGAAAAGTAATAACCTTGCTCGTGTTCCTCTAATATAGAAAGCCCTTTGGACAGCTGAATATTGCTGACTTGTGTTCATAATATAGTATACCAGCATTGCCAAAATTGGTCTGTTAGACAATAAATAAAATCATTTTTGTCATTGCGGTGGTTCATTCAATGGTAAGAGGAACTCTAAAAATGTGTATTGTTAACTTTGCATTACAATGCCTGGCTTTTCATTCTTGCCCTTTTTTGTATCTGTTAATTCTGTTACCATCTGCGTTTATACAAATATAAACTTCATCCCTTAAAGAAGAAAATATAGTTTTATCTGATTAGTGTGTTGCTTTCCTCTTGGCTGTTGTATTACTTTCTGATATATTATTATAATACAAGTATACAACATTCACATCTACCAAAAAAAGTATACAACATTCACACTTTCTCCTACCTTGTGCTTATTAAGTATACTTCATCCAAAACATTGCATTCATGGAAACGAAATCTTTACAGAGAAACATCTGGCCCCTAGCTATTTTTTCCATAATGTTGGATATTGTATGCTATTCCAATAGCCATTTCATTTCACCAATGGGTTTGGGTTTTTTTTTTTTTTTTGTGATTTTTCATATTTCAGGAGTCTGATTTTGTGGCTTTGCTTTATTTGTAGACCTCTTATTGGTAGCAGAGTAAATCCTGTATTGCAAAGAAAACGGTCTGCCTTTGTTGGGCATCTCTTCATTGACAAAGTTAGACTTCAAATGCCGCGTGAGGACATGGTCTGTATATTTGTTGCTTTTACATTCTATTGGTTTTTGGGGGTTATCTTTCTTGTATTTGGTATTTATTGTTTATGGTGGTTGTTCCTCTTTATCCAGAAACGAGCAATATCTACATCACATTGTTCTCAGCCCAATACGATTGAATACGAAATGGCCATGGAATGGAGACTACTTCAAACAAGAGTGGACATATGGTGGAAGGAGTTATACAAGGTTAAACCTCGTTCTTTCCTGTTTCGTTATTTATTTTTGAACATTTTCCTTTTCTTTATCATTGCTATTCTATTTCTTACTCTGCCCTTTTTCTTTCAACAGCAACAAGTGGTGGAGTTGAGAAAGGTTGAAAACAATCTTAAGTTCAAATAAGTTGCCGATTCTTGTGTTGGTCCCTCTGGTAAGGTTGGCACCAAATGATCTATGGAACCCATTTACTCACCATAGGAATCATTGTTTAGTCCACCCATTATCTTTTGCCCCTGCAGAAACGAAAAAGTTGCAAGAGAAAATTTTGCTCATCCAAGCCGTGCTTTCCAATATCCAGGTTAACGAGTTGAAGGGTTGCCGGGCTCCTATAAAGATTAGAGGTACACTTAACCACGTATAAATAACTGTTACTCTATCTAAACTAAATTATCAATGATGTTGGTAATTATCGAAATGAAACTGTGAAAGCGTTGTTTTTAACTTCAGGGCCCTCCTTTGCGTGGTGATTTCATATACTGCAAGATATATTTGGGGGGCGAGAGTGATTTTATTGTAGCTCGGTGCCAAAAAAATGTGGATCAATTGCAACATGGCGCTCAGTGGTTGGATGGAGCTTTTTTGGAAGAAGGCAAGCGAATTGTATATCAACATGATAGCAACAGCTTCTTGGCAAGCTGGTTATGCGCCATATACATGTTAGGTACATCTGTACAAATCAAGTGAACCTTGACATTATAGCATGCTAGTATCTAATACATCCTTTTCTCTTTTATCCTCTATCTCCCTGCCTTCCTCTTTCTCTAACTAATAAAAGAACCCGACTCCAAACAATCCATCCAATTACAGGCATCGAAGGACAACGAAGTAGCAAACCAGAACATCATTCTTATGTATGGAATTCTCGCCTTAAAATTCCCATTTTCCTTCTATAGCCTTTCTCCTTAACACATTAGTGGATTGTAAGCTGAAAAACAAAGTTTTGCTTGTCATTTTCTTTGGTATCATCTAACCCAAAAAACATTCATATAGGAATGTTTTATGTACGTGTTAAGAATTTAATTACAAAATGAATCGTAAATATAAAAGATATTTTTAAAGATAAGAATGTAAAATTAGAATTACAAAACGAATGTCTTGTATACGGGTTACGAAGGTGAGATCCTAGCATGGACTTCTTTGGGGTTTCCCCAAGGGGCTCTGTCAAGTCCCAGCTGCTATTTGTAAGACAATTCATAAGTGTATAATTAGACTGAGGTGGGTCCCTGGGCTAAGGTGCAAGGCACACTAGGTGTGCAGCTTTTAAAAGGGGGCCCACCCATTCTCCTGACAATTACAAGTGAACACCTTCCCTATCAAATCGAATGCCACCAAGATTACCACATTTTACATTAAATGTACAAATATGGTGATAATGGACAGTGATGAACCATTTATGAATATAGTCATGCTTGTAGTAGAGAAGCAACTATTAATGTGATCACAAAATAGTATTGCAAAACCAAATTCAACAAAGATGCCAATAATTATGAGTCCTTACGATTTCACTCAGGCGTGGTAAGGACTGATAATTTTATGCAAAAAGGGCTTCAATCAAGTTATAAAGTTTTGGTAATAATTTGGTAAGCTACATTTCCGAGTCCAATAAAATGGAAGTCTTTGGCATCTTTTGCTGAATTTGGTTTGGAGATCAAGCAAATTTTTGGTGTGGTTTATGCCTGAAATAGTAAAAGGATTAAGAAAGTGAGGTTGCAACTTCGATGACCTTGCAACTTTGGCATCTTTTAACTCAAAATGCCTTGGCTTAACTTCTTAGTTGACAAAGATTCAAATTTGACATTTATGATTAAATTGTATAAGAAGTCATAGCCTAACCAACCAAGCCCCTCTCATTACGTTCCAAAATCCTCAAAATAATACATTTGAGGTTTGTCTCAGCAGTTAAGGTGAGACCTGAGGTACATGCAATGTGGGTTTTTTTGAAACCCTAAATCGGACCAGAATTCCAGTATTGTCTTGGACCTTGGAGATAGATGGCCAAAACTGGAATGTTACACCTGACCCCTACACTCGATTATGATACTTCACTAGGTGTTGGATTGAACTATCTTTGATATGCCAATCAGTGAGATCCTTTGAGGGTAATACCTGATGGTCTGAGAATTCATCTGAGTGGGTGATCATAGTGACAGAATCAGTCTCTTTGTCGGACAAAGTGAATGATCGGGAATGCACTCTCTCTGATGGAAACCTAAACTACCGGTAGTTGATTTCAACCGTTGAAATTTGTTTTGCAAAATATATTTATATAGAGATATACATATATATTATGGTTTCAAAATGTTTGCAAAAGGTTTTAATTCCCGGGATTCATGTGAGTAGAGAGTGCAGTATTGTACCTTGCAACCGAGGGAGAGGTCTTCTCTTATTAGGCAGTGTTTGATCATTATGGGCTGAGAGGTTAAGTGTAAAACCATTGAGGGTAATACCTGATGGTCTGACTTAATGATCATTTAGTGTAAATGTTGGGCTCATTAAGAGCCCATGGCGATGAACTCAGGGGTTCATTGCTTCCTACAGTGAATTCGGCCATGCTTTGTAACAGAGGCTGGGCTAAACCCATGTGGTTAATGTGTAGATCAATGTTTGGGTCCCACGCTATACAAGAATATGCAATTGGGTAGCAGATAGGAGGATGAGTCAGCAGATGGACTTAATAGGCCTAAAACCCAAATCAAACTAACTTAATGTGATTAATTAAAAGATGGCGATTTTGGGATTTAAATCAGCAGATAGGATAAGAGATTATCCCTATCCACTCAGAGAGTCCAGATCCAAATAAAGATTTGGGTAAGAAAACTCCTAATTAGATTAGAATGGATGATCTTTATCTATAGATAAGATAAGGGTTTATCCTTATATCTTAAAGAGAGTTCAGATCCAAATACAAGATTTGGATTATGAAACTCCTAATAGGATTAGGAGAACCTCTCTTTAAAGGCTATAAATAGAGTAGCAAGGGGCAAACCAAAAAGATAGAAAACAAGAGAGATCTTCTGGTTCACAGATCACAAGAAAGAAATCTTGCAGTTCGATTGTTTCAGATTTCCACCATTTCTTGTTCTTGCCGCCTCTGCTAGTTCGATCTCCACCTGTAGGAGCGATGGAGAAAAGTTCTTGATATTATCTTTTGGGAGAAAAGATAATCAGAAGTCGTGCTCACCTGCCCTCCATCGAATTCTTGCTGAAGAATTTGGTTTTTGCTGAAGAACCACCCTGCTGATTCTGCTCCACTCTACGTTGTGTAATCTTAGTGGGAGCAGTCTTTGGTATTCTACTTGGGCGTGAACACCTTCGTTGGGGGTTATTACTACTCCGTATCAGGTATATTCCTCTTCTACCCTTTTGATTTCAGATTTGGTTCGGTTTGGGTACAAGATTGATCATTGAAAATGCAGTTTTTTACAACAGGGAATGTGATTCTCACATGGGAGAGAGAAATTTTTGAAATTTCGCCCAACCTACCTGCAAGGTTTGACCATCCATATGATGGATCTCTCATCCTTTCAGGGGTGCCTATTGAATTTAGAGTGTCTTGGTCGAGTGCCTTAGAGATGGAGAATGGAGTCGCTCTTTTTCAAAACGAAATCAATTTTCCAAATTTTATAAAGGACCCATTTTCTCTTAAATTAAATGGGAGGCGACTCCTTGTTTTTAAGTTGCACATGAGCTTCCCAAAGCTCACTATAACTTTTAAGTATTGAAGAAATTTCAACATGAGAGGGTGTCTAGGCAGTAATATTGCATTTCAATCAACAACTAAAATTCCTTTTGTTCCTATTAGATTCAAGGACATGAAAAATACTTAGTATTATAATCACCATCTCTAATCAAATATAAATAGGCTCATTGCCGCCAATAGCTTTCTTCTCTATCAAGAAGTGATTCTAAATGAGCCCTTTTCCCTTGCTCTTGAAGTAGAATTGTATATGAGATTAGGGCTCCTAGTTTGTATAATCAATGCTACCAACTATATTCTTATTGCAAGATCTTGAGGCGATTGTGGTTCATGCACATATTTCAAATTTTTAATCCTTTATTGTTAGTTTTATGAACTCTAATTTGTGCTCACTAAATTTATAATTTGTTAATTAAGATTTAGTACTTGTAAATAAGATGTCCCATTGTTGTAGTCAGGGATGTTGCAATGACAACTTGTGATGATTAACAATGTGAGCTAAGAATTTTTTGTGTCCTTGACCCCGTCCCCATCAACGGGGATGAAATGTTCCCCATCCCTGTTCCCATGGAAGAAAATCATTCCCATCTCAGCCTCATTTGGGGCGGGTCCTTGTAGGTATCGGAGAGATTGAGAAAATTTCCATCCCTAGTTATGAAGGAAGCAAAAATGGATATTGACAGAACCGGAAAAAGTTGTTTAGAAAATAGGCTTCTAAACATCAATGATCTGTCCCAAAAGATCATCAAAGAAGATAATGCCATACTCAAAGGGTGTTACAGCAGAATAGCATGGTATGGGTACCATCGATGGTGTAATGCTAGAAAGCGCAAAGCTAGAAATGCTTCCATTACTGGGGACTTTGGTTGTGCGAGACAATGTTGGATCTCAGTTCTCTAAGGTGCTGAGGTAGAATGGTCCAAGCTTCTTTCTTCTTTTGCAGTTTCTTTACTTTTCCTTGTTTTCATTGTAAATATGCTTATTACCCCCCACCCAGCCACCAATAACCAATACAGGGAGCAATAAGAAATAGGGTTTCTTAATTTTTTTTCACCTTTCCGTTACCGTATCGCCTCATATCAATAGCATATTGACTGGTACAGTATCATATCGGTGGATACTCTACGAATTCGTGAGGGGTGAAAATGAAAACAATATAGGGTGAAAGAAGCTTCTAACCCTAGAAAGAAGCGTTCTTTAACTCCTAAAAACCTCTAAAACAACAAAGCTCATTTCCAAAATGTGAGATTTGCAAAAAAAACCACAAAAAAGTGTTAATTATCAAGTTTTGTTAAGTTTTTTAAGATTAGGAATATATTGCATTTTTTTTTTCAATTTTTCTCATAATATATTGTGGTTTCTTGGATTTTTTCTTGAATGCTTGATAATGGTTAAATCTATGTTGTTCTACATTTCTTATGTTGAAACCATAGAATTTTTTGTGTTACAAGTAGATTTGTAGATTTTTTTATATTAATTTGCCCATGAAGATTTAATATATTGTAGATCTATGGATGATCCTTCGTATTCATAAAACAATTGAAAATTCTTATTCAATAGCTATTTTTTTATTATTGTTTGCTGAAAGATTGTAGCTGAAGTAGTAGAATAGAGGTGAAGGCAAACAAGTGCTGAGAATGTCGAATTGAGTAACACAGTCGATAGTACTATTATTTATAGTAGATTACAATACAGTGTTACATGAAATGTCTGAAATGCCCCTGATTAGTGATGGGACACCCAGACTATTTAAAACACTAAACAGACTTGGGCCCAATAATAAAGGACTAGTAACAGCTTAAAACCCACTATTAAGTAACATGTACACTTATCAGCCGAACCAACAATACATAAAAACAATCAACTTAACAATTATTTTTGTAATTATTAGAATTAAAATAGAAATAATAATTATTTATATTTTTTGTGATTTGCCCATAAAAGATTGTGTATGTTGTAGATACTTATCATAAAAGATTGTTCAATACTTGTTTACTTTTTTGTAATATTGGGAATTAAATAATAAAAATAACTATTTATATT